CTCACGGACCTCTGGAAGGTTTAGCCAGTATATTACCTCCCTTAGCAGTTCGAGGCGTTGGTCCAAGGAGGCAGGTGCCTCACAGTCTCGTGAGAGAGGAGCGGAAATTCTCACCGCTCCGCTCACATGCTCTGATACACTGTAATTTTTGCAACAGAAATGGATGAGATGGGCAGGCTGTCACGATCCGCTCCGAACGATCCTCATGTGTGCCACGCCCCCTCATTACCTCATGTTACTTCCTGATTGTTCCCACCTATGTCTAGTTAATTCCAACCTGTCCTGTGTATTTAGTCCGAGCCTCAGTCAGTTTTCCCCAGATCTGTCATCATCAATTCCCATGTGTGAGTTTCCGTCTTGTTCGTTTGCCTCCCAATAAACCCCATTTTGTCTGTCAACCTGGCTGCTCTTGCCTCTCTCACCGGCTCGTCTACTCGCATCGTGACAGAATGACAGATCTCCCCCAAACGCTCAGCGCTACCGGGGAGGAACTTCCCCTAGAAGAAGAGGTCATCTGGTGGACCAACATGCTGGAGCTCCAAGAAGATCCAGTAGCCCGCCCGCTCATGCAAAGATGTTGGGTCCTCATGAAAAGGAGGTACAATATCGGTGAGGAGCAGCTGCGTGTAAAGGTGGGAGAACACCTACAGTGGCTGAGGGAGAGAGCGGCAGTCTGGCTGTCCCATCTGGGATACGCCTCCTGGGAGCCGCCCCCCAACTCACCACCTGCCTCCTTCCCGGCCTCTAGCAAGACGGCAAGGACTCCAGCCTCCACCGCACAGCGAAAGACGCCTCTAAAGCAGCGCAAGACTGAGAGTAATGCCCTCTGCTGGCCGCGTGATGGCGGCGCCCGCCATGGCGCCCCCTGCTGGCCGCGTGATGGCGACACCCGCTGCGGTGCCCCCTGCTGGCCGCGTGATGGCGGCGTCCGCCGGGGCGCCCGCTGCTGGCCAGGAATTGCTGGTGCCCACTGCAGCTCTGCCCGAGGTCCTGGCATCGCCTCTGCCTGCAGCTGAGGACACCGCTCTGCCCGCGGCGCCCCCTGCTGGCCGCCCGCCCAAAGCGCCCTCCGAGGCGCCCCCTGCTGGCCACATGACTGAGGTGCCTGCCGAGGCGCCCCCTACTGGCCGTACGACCGAGACGCCCCCTGCTGGCCACGTGAGGGTGGTGCCCGTCGAGGCGCCCCCTGCTGGCCACACGCCCAAAGCGCCCTCCAAGGCGCCCGCTGCTGGCCACATGACTGAGGTGCCTGCCGAGGCGCCCCCTACTGGCCGCACGCCCGAGGCGCCTGCCGAGGCGCCCCCTGCTGGCCACGTGAGGGCGGTGCCCGCGGAGGCGCCCCCTGCTGGCCGCACGCCCGAAGCGCCTGCCGAGGCGCCCCCTGCTGGTCGCACGCCCAAGGCGCCTGCCGAGGCGCCCCCTGCTGGCCACACGCTCGCCCATCCTGCCTGTCCAGCCCGGCTCTCCCGTCCAGCCCGGCTCACCAGTCCTGTCCCCGGCTCCACCGCCTGATGCCACACCCCCTGCTTTGCCCGAGCCTCCACCCTCAGGGACCTCACTGACTCCCTCACCCTTGCCTCAGCGAGGCCGACACCCCCCAGGACCCCGCCTTTCAGTGTCCCGTAAGGGACGAGGACACCTGCGTCAGGCTCTGGTCCCTCCCGCCCTGCCCCCTGGCTCGCCCGTTCGGCCTCTGGCTGTGGCTAGGTGGCTGCCTGCGGGTCCTCCGGCTCAGGGTCGGCGGTCTCCGCCGGGTCCCCCCCGGTCCCTCGGGGCCGCTCCTCTGGCTCCATGTCGGTCACCTCCGGGCCCCCCTGCTTCGGCGGGGCGTCGGACGGCGCCTTTGCCAGCTCCGGCTGCGCCGTCCCCTGCCGCGGCAACCCCCTCCTGCCTGCCGTCGTAGGTGTTCCCTCCTGTTCCCTCCATGTCCCCTCCGTCTCTCCCTCGTCCCGTTCCCTCGGTCCCTGTGTGGTCCCCTCCTGCTCTCTCCTCCCTCTCCTCTGCGGCCCCTCCGGCTGCTGCCCGTCGCCCGCCTGGGCTCCCTCGGGCTCTCCTTTGTCCCCCTTCCGTTCCTGTCTGGTCTCCCCTGTCGGCTCCTCCTCCTTTTGTTCCGCCTATGTTTGTTCATTGTCCCTGTGCACTCCTGGCCCCTTCATGTCGCCTGTGGGTGTTCCCTCTGTGTCTCCCTTCTCTGTCTGCTTGTGCGCGTTTCCTGTGCTTTGTCGGGTCTTGTCCTTCTTCTCGTCCCTGTTTCTGTTTTGTGTCTCGGTCCTGTTTCCAGTGTCTCGTTGATGTTTTGCTTCTGTTTTCCAGGTTTTGGGCCCCTCGTCTCGTCTGTCGCCTCCCCTCGGGCACGCCCGGTGTGCGCGCCTTTTGGGGGGGGATTATGTCACGATCCGCTCCGAACGATCCTCATGTGTGCCACGCCCCCGCATTACCTCATGTTACTTCTTGATTGTTCCCACCTATGTCTAGTTAATTGCAACCTGTCCTGTGTATTTAGTCCGAGTCTCAGTCAGTTTTCCCCAGATCTGTCATCGTCAATTCCCATGTGTGAGTTTCTGTCTTGTTCGTTTGCCTCCCAATAAACCCCGTTTTGTCTGTCAACCTGGCTGCTCTCGCCTCTCTCACCGGCTCGTCTACTGGCATCGTGACACAGGCAGCTGGAGGTGAAATTTTTGTCCTTGATAAAACTCTGACGGTCTCCACACTGGTAACAACATTGTTTTGTAGGCATAGCCAAACAAATCTCCTCCTGTCTGAAAAGGCGTAGAAAACGCAATTTAGCTACTAAAACTTTACAGTTTTTGTGAAGGACAGTCGAATTCTCCTGTTAAGTTTTTTGTGTTCTTGCACCCATACTTTAAAACTCGTTCCAGCGCCGCCACATATACATATGCGTGTGCGTGCGTGTGTGTGTGCGCGAGGGACGGGGGACCCGATCGGTGTTTTCCCCGGGGCCTTCGTGCAGTAGCTTCGCCACTGGTGATAAATATTTCTAAATATTTATTTGAGCATGTTTACACTTTATTGTATTTTTTATTGTACTTTGTTTATTGTATTTTCATTACTTATTTTTTATTACTTTTTCTTTTCAAAGCCTGTTCTCTAATTTTGTGCACTTTATTTAAGAAAAAGACGTTATGTGTTACTTGTGTTTTTTAATAAAGTATTTATTTACTTATAAAAGTATAAGTTTTCTCTGAAGGGACCTGTGCAAAAAAATATAATGTCACAGTCCAGTGTATTGAGTTCTTCCTCTTAATTGAGAAGAAGCGTGTGAAGCATGAGTGGGTCTTTCTTCTACAGATGGATTTCAGGGGAATTGTGTGTGCTTCACTAGCTGTCACACCACTCCTGTTTATAGGTTAATCTAAGCAGTAGTTTGCATGTACATTTTAATATTCAGATGTTCATTGGAAATATTAGTTTTGCATTTACCATCATGTAATATAAAAATTATATGCTGATGATTTGCATAAATAATAGATAAAACGCAGTCATGAGAAAACAGTCGTCAGTTTGTCAATGGAAAGGAGCAACTAACAGACAAATGGAGGAATATTGTTTTCATCACCTTTAAGAGGTAAGACCAGTTTAGAATATTTTTTAATTAACCATTTAGTGTTTTTACACCGTTTGAAAATAATGTTTAATATTTATGTATGAAAAATGTGCCAAAATATATTTCAAGGGAATCTAACGCAGGAGTTTTTTTAAATTTCTGTGCATTGGAGTATTACGGGATGAGAAAATCACTCCTGACCCACAGATACTGTATGACAGATAATAGCACAGAGCCCGCACATACATCTCTGCCATTTATATACAGACCTGCATTCCCCTTTGACATTATGTGTAGTTTACTGTTTACTGTTTGATTTCTGCAGGTCCAAAATAGAGTCTCAATGGAGTGGACTATACTGCTCATCCTGCTGTTCACAGCTCAGTGGTATTTGGGAGGATGTAATTATGGTATTATTATTATTATTTATTATTATTCTTTGTGATAGATGACATTTTGTCGGGGGAAGGGGGTGCAGAATTACGAGCTGAGCCACTGCACACAGGATTTAATTTCAAACTCTGAAATATCTGTTACTGTACAGGCACTGGGGGCAGCATGTGTCTCAGTGGTCTAAGCCTGTGTGCCTGTAATTAGCAGGTTGCTGGTTCAAACCCAGCCTCAGCATGTCTGTGGGTCCCTGAGCAAGGCCCTTAACCCCCAGCTCCCTGGGCTGCCCTCCACAGACAGCTTACTCTACAAAGAGCAAGTTGGGGAAGGCATAAAGACAATTTCCCCACAGGAATCAATGAAGTATTGATTGTTACCTATCACATTTAAGTAAATTATTAAGAAAATATATTATTACTGTTAGTGTAAAACAGGGGTGTCCAACTCCAGTCCTGGGGGGCCAGAGCCCTGCACATTTTTGGTTTTCCCCTCATTTAACACACCTGATTCAACTCCTTGTGCTAATTACCTCACAGCTCTTCAGCTGACTCATTTGTGGTGGAACAGGGAAAGAACTAAGCTACACAGGGCTCCGGCCCTCCAGGACTGCAGTTGGGCACCCCTGGTGTAAAGCAAGTATGGAATTGATATTGGGTTTCTATTTTGGCCTAATATCACATCTAAAACATAAACAACATAGTTCCTTATTTACATTCCAAAATTATACAAAGGCAGTGAAATGTTTCTAAAATTATACAAACATTCAGTTCTAGTCTAAACTTTTTTTCATAAGATACAACACATGATTATAATAACCTCTTCTCTCATACTGAATATCCACAGCAGTGACAAATACAACCCAGACCTTTCCAGGAAACTCAACGACAACTAAAGCAGAAGCTGCGGGTTTGACTCCAGTCAATGTTACTGATAACTTGACTTCACAGCCTTTGTCCAACACCTACATGATTACAGGAAATCTAACCACACAAGAGGAAGCTGTTGAAAACTCATCAACCAGTCATAATTTCAGTGAAATATCACAGTATGAACGAACATCTACTATAAATATAAGCTCTAAAGGGATTACAGAAGCACAGCGTACAGTTTCGACTACTGATATGATCACAGTTTCCACGAAATCTAGAATAACCACAGGTAAAACATGATGCTACTTTGAAAGGACAAACAACACTGTAAAAAAAATCTGTCAAAAAACAGAATATGTACTCGCAGAGTCTTCAAGTCTCAAGGAAAATACCGTAAATTCAGTTTTCCACAGTTTGTTGTTCCAAGGAATATTTCTTAACCAATAGTTTATTTTCGTTTATAATTTTTCATTCTGCCAATGCAGAATTGTTTGTTTAATAAATGGTGTTGTTCACAAAACTACAGAAAGTAATTTGAGAATATAGTAATTCACTACATTCATTATTCATCATGGCTCATGGGCCCATAAACATGTAGTTGTTTAGCTGAAGCTGGATTTGATCCAGCAACCTGTGGATTATAAAACCAAATACTTAGGCTACTGAGCCACACACTTACACTGACTTGAGTTAAGTTGTAACTTTTCAAGTGGAATGAATTGCAATGTACCTGATTATAATACTCGTTAAGGTGAGTTCATTTACAGTTCCTACTTTTAGGAGCCAGTTAATAAATCGAATTATTTTTTAAGTATTTCTCCTGTAATATGTAATACACGTTTAAGTTAATTTCCAGGTAAGCATTTCAGGCAAGGCAGTGCTCATTTACACAGATTATAAAGTTTGTTACACTCTGCAGCAAACAATTCTGCATTGGCAGAATGAAAAATTAAACATGAAAATAAACTATTAGTTAAGAAATATTCCTTTGAACAACAAACTGTGGAAAACTGAATTTACAGTATTTTCCTTGAGACTTGAAGGAAGAGTCCGTTAACTTAACGGAAAATGTGCTGGTAATTTTCTGCCAGTACATTTTCTGTTTTTTGACGGATTTTTTTTTTTACAGTGAAGATATAGTTCTGAATAATGCCCCATTTTAATTTCAAAATTACAAAAATGC